CTTTTTCTACTTAGAATTATAATGTTAAAGTTTTTGTAATTCCTCAAAAATTTTCAAAGTCCACTGACATATGGCTTTGAAACATTGCACACTTATTCACCATCATGACCCCAACCTGTAAACAGGAGGAGGGTAACTGTATCAAGCATTTTTTTACTATCAAGCACTAAGAATAGTCGAGCGTTGCTGTCCTACCGACAGCTCTTGTTGTAATTATTGTTGCTTTTCTAGAATAAAAATAAACTGAACATAATATAAATAACTATTCTTTCCAAGATCACTCGCTTCCTTAAAGTATAACAATCTAAATACAAAAACAAAATTTATACATTCAATAACTAAATTCACGAAGGAAAAAGATATCGGCACACTTTAAAGTGTTTGGTCCAAAGGAAGGGAGATAAATGAAATTGATTACAAAAAAAGGAGAAAAAAATTTTTCCCTATTATGAAAATTATCCCTTAAAAATGTCATAATTTTTCTAAGCAAAATGCTTTAATTTTGAAATGTCTGGTGATTTGATTGGAAAACCCGATAACATTTAATTTCCAATTATAAAATAAAATATAAAAAAATTTAAAAACCTATATTTCAGTTTCGGGAAATTTAAAATTTAAGAAAGAAAAAAAAATATAAAATGAGCCCCGGGAAAAACTGACCCTTGGCTTTTCACCCTTATCAAAGAACGGGAACCCTACTGATGATAAAATGAGGTAAAAGAAATTTTTTAAAAGGGAATATAGTAAAAAGATTTTTCCCTTAGCCTGCTAAAAAGCAAAAGTTATTAAAATTTGCCTCCAGAATAGACCCCGGCCCAGCCTGACTTTTCGACGGCTAGGGGCTATAACAGGACGAAAGGGCGGTCCTTACGCCTTTTTAATTTTTTTAAACCCCTTTCGAAGCAAAAACGTCATCGCCGCCCCTGCTGACTAAATACAAAAACTCTACTTTTTAATTTTGGGTTTCAAAAATCGAAAAAATTAAATGGGTAGGGCTTAAGGGGCATCGAGTCCAAAAAGGAAAATTTTTTTAAAGGGCGAAAAAACCACCATATTTACCCGTTTTTCAAAATTTTTTTAAAAGCCTAAGTGGAGTTAGGCCCTTTTAAGTTTTTTGAAAATTTATTTAAAAAAAGATACCCAGAAAAACCCAATTTTACCACAAAAGGAGCTTTTTCCCAACAAAGTGGGACATACCTTACACTTTTTTAAAGGATACGCATTGTAGATAAGGGGGTCCAAGGTCTATTTCCCGTGGAAAAAAAGTTGACAAAAATCATTTGAGTCATCGTCTATGAATTGAATCAAAGTTTAATTACTTTGCATCCGATTGAATAACTGAATCACTAGAAATATTGCATTCAAACAGGCGCTTTGCATGTTTCGTAATATAAAGGCCTCTAGTTGTACCTATCTATAGTCAGGTGGGTGTGGGAGGAATATCCCCTCCCATAGACCCAGAAATTTCCAAAAAGGAAGCAACGGTATTGCATTAAATTGTCTTTATAAACATTCAAAGTTTTGTAATGTTAAAGAATGTATATTCTACCCCTACAGCTTCATGTGGCAACAAAGAAACCTGATATTTTTAACAACGTGTCTTTTTGCAGTAAAAAAACTTTAGAAGCTGACAAAATCCACACCTCGTCTGTGTTAGAAATCATTCTGAGATGACAGGAGACATCGTGCATGTCAAGCTTGTAAAATGGCCGAAAAGACCCAGATTACATAAAAGCTAATATTAATAATTTGTTCATGGGAAAACTGTTAATTAAACTTATTTAAATAAAAACGAAGGTTATTGTACATTGGGCTATTGGACAACACTGTGTGAATGGAATAGACAATGGTATTGTGACATAGAGTTCAGACACTTTAATGTTAAATACAGTTGACATTGCCTAGTCATAATGTCGTTGATCTAAAGTTGATTGTTAATTACAATAAAATTTGAATTTGAAACTGTTAGTAGTATAAATAGTGTATTCTTTCAAAGTTTCAAGTGCTTTTAAGCTTGTATTTGGCAGTTTGTATTAAAGTAATTCAAATTCCTGAGTACAATATGTATACATGATATACATGATTCGATGATTATATTTCATGTGTATTCGATGATTATATTTCATGTGTATTCGATGATTATATTTCATGTGTATTCGATGATTATATTTCATGTGTATCTTATATATCATTCATTCATGCCTCAATATAGAAAAAAAGATTTAAGGTCAATTTAATGAAACACAGTGACTATTCTAAGTCATATAATCATGTAACATTTAAAATCAAGACTTTAGTATTGTTTTATTTATCTGTCATGTAACCTTCACATACAATGTCATAGGTTTAAAGACTAAAGATAGTTTAAAACGGTCACTTATTACAATTCATTATTGTTATAGATACAAACAATTGTATAATTGTATTGATAATTAATGAATACACTAAAATCTAAAAGGGCATATATGGTAGTTACGCCCTATTTAGCCAAGTCCGAGTAACAATTTTAAAGAGCGAAACTGCTAGTTACGTCTTTTTAGAATTATTGGCTGATGCACAAAAATGTAAATATTAAAAGGGCATAATACGGATTTTGTGAGTTTTTATTATGGTGGTGGGCTATTTTAATTTAAAAAAGGTTTTAAAAAAGTCGATATTAGTTTTTCTAAGTGTGTCCCAAATTTTACCATGATTGAAAAAGGATCAAAGTCTGCAGACAGTTTTTTTCAGTTTCCCGAAACTTGCAAAAATGCATTTACGCCCTTATAGCACTAGACCGTCGATTTGTGCAGTTTTACCAGCCTCTGAACTGTTTGCTAACTTCCAATTTTCATTTTCATGTGATAATTAGTTATAATAATTTATAATGGACTGTTCCTTTAATAAAATGTTGAAAAGTCTATTTAATAATTTCCGCAGGTTAAAGTAGCATGCCTCCAGATTCATGCCCATTCTTCATGTAAATTTTGAAAATTTATCGAAAAAAATAAAAAAATAATGTAGGGAACAAGGAAAGTAATTAACACATTACAAACAGCATTTACAGTCTACTTACATTACCAAAAAGGCCGAAATATACAATAATAGCCATTGCGTTAGTCACGCAGTAGAAATATGGTAATAAGAACTGCGACTTCGGTCGTTAAAGACATTTAGTACATAAATAATTACTTGAATCTTAAATCTTTTTACTTCTCTTAAAATCTGAGTACATTTTTCTTAAGTTTGTTTTTCTCGAAATATTTTTGGTTCATCTGGAGGCGTGCAGCTTTAAGGCTTGTTTATAGCTCTTGAATGAGACGTGTATTCATTTGGTTCTGAAACAGTACGGCATTGTGAAAATTGTTTCATGTTCGGGTTTGATAAAAAAAAATGTCTTTGCTTAACACAGAAGCAGTTACCGTTGTTGTTGTTATTCAGTCATGAATTGCTTTGGCTAAGTAAATACATATACACCTACACTGGTATCGAACATTTTTCTTCATTATTCAAATTTGATAAAACTTTTGTAAGTTTTAGTTATAATAAAGGGCGTCCGTTACCGAGTGGTTGAATGAATTCATTGACTTCAAATCATTTTCACCCCCCTTTCTTTCACTATTATGGGCAGCGACTTTGAATTCATGAATAGTTTCATGTGCAGAGATGGTCCACAGACGTGATCCACAGCTAGCTTAAATGGCAGAGAAAATTGGTGGTTCTACTCGAGTGCCCCACCGTGTCTAAAATAATTTATAGAGGGCTATTTTGGACCTTCTTCCGCCAGTAAAGCTGAAAAATTATTATTGTACCTTCGAAACCATTCACCTACTAAATTAGTGTAATGGATCTGCCCTGCATAGAATTTGGAACAGTCCATTTGAAGTTTATGGGATTTCAATTTGAGCAAACGATAATATATAGCCTTGGCACGGAGTGCACGTACCAATAGGTAAAGGGTTAAACCCAACCAGAATAATTGAACCATTGCAGTTAAGAATATACTAGAAATAATAAAAGAATCGTTTAATGACATCAAGTGAATAAAAGCTTTCTGACCACTATTTGAGTGAGACGTAATTATTTGTTTATTGTATTCCTGAATTCTATTATCTGCAATTTTTGATAAGAGTATTGATAACATTGTTGTTTTTTTTTTTAATTTGGTGGTTCAACCCGTGCGTCTTCTGTCTTTTGCAAGTGAAACGCAAAGTGTTACAAGTGATATGGATGTTTTATACATTAGACAAGTTAAATGTTGATGCAGCACATCAAAAACGCAGCCGAATGATGTGAACAGTCAATCAGCTTTGGAAATCGTCCACTATTACAGATGAATGTCCGAAGCACAAATCAATTTTTTCTCCATGTTCTTTGTATGTGCCCATTGTTTAATAATTAAGTTGCATACTTTTGTGAAAAAGTAGAACCTGATGCATAAATTCACAAGGTAATGCCATGTCTGAAATTCTGAAATGTGTGTCTGTTACGACAAATATTGAAACGTCTGGTCAAAGCAAAATAATACTTTGTTCATTTTTTTTCTGAAGAGTTATTTCTTAAACAGTTTGTTTGCTGGTATTAAGGTGTGCAGCTTTAAAGGAAGGCCCATTATGCCCCCAAAAATGTTTTTATTTTTATATCTGAAAAGCTTTTTATTTTTGGTATCCTATTATAGTTTCAAAACAGATATTCATTGGTCATTTATCTTAATAATCTTTTGTTTTTTTGAAAACAGTTTTAATGATTTAGTATTTTGTGTAGAAATTAAAATACGACTGTGTTTACAGTTTGCGACCTTTAAAACAATATTTTCACATTCAGCCATACTTTATTTCCAATAAGCATCTAACATGCTTTAAAGCATTATTTGAACGTTATAATACTTATGTTTGCACTGCCTAATGTAGGAAAAAAATGATTTATTTCTGAGGCATAATGTGCCTTTAAGGAAAAACAGTTGATTCTAAGTTGAATATAATTTTTACAATGCAGGTGTATCGGTGATCTTTACATTTCAGAAATACGGAACATGGTAAATTGAGCAGGTGAAGGAATGAAGAAAACACCACCCTCTTTACAGTCAGCAAAATAACTATGCTTTGTTACGGTTTGGAACTACTGCATGCGGTTACAACTTATGTGACAAAGAGATTTTAATCCACCTGATACGATTTGGTATCTTTCTGAAAATGTCATGTTCAACTTCTGAATGGTGTTTTTTTCTGCCAAGTTTAAGAAATATATTACCATGTAACTGTCTAATATTTATGGCAATTATGAAGTAATAGTGAGTTTTTGGCATAGTAATAACTATAGTGTGCAAATATGTAATTCCGAGAATTGAGTGCACACGTCCTAGAGAACGAAAAGACGTCATTAACTGGCACAACGTCAAATCAAAGAATCTCGAGGATTATAAGACTTTCCTTGAAAATAGTGATGTTTTACATTTAGCAAATAAGATGCCAATACGTTCAATTTCCGATATTGATGAACTTTACTCTGGAATAGTTGTGATTGTTAATCTAGCAACAGATTTATACATACCTAAGGTAAAATTTAAACCTTACATCAAACCTTACTGGAATGACAGTCTAAAAACTGCGCATAAAAATATGACACAAGCGCGAGCACAATGGATAAGCGACGGAAAGCCACGTGACACGACTTCCGGAAGTTACAAACGTTTCAAAATAGCCAAGACCCTCTTTCGGAAAACACATCGCCAATCCGTTCTATCTTTCCTAGATAAAGAGGAACGTATGCTAGACAAAGCATCGGAATTAGATAACAATGAATTTTGGAGATTGGTTAATAAAAATAATTCAAAAACCAAATATACACCCGGTTTTGAAATGACTTTCAATGGAATTACTCTATCAGATCCGCAGGAAGTAAACGAGGGTTGGAAATCTTATTTCTCGCAACTATACTCAATAAATAATGATGAAAATTTTGATTCTGATTACAAATCATATGTAGAAAGTGAACTTGAAACAATTAAAAGTAACTATCGAAGCAAACAACATGCAAAATACATTATCACCAGCGATATGGTAAAAATAGCGCTTAATTCTTGCAAGAAAAGGAAAGCCTGTGGCCAAGACAATCTCTTTTATGAGAACTTCATTTATGGCGGAGATTTATTGATAAAATGTATCACCAAACTCTTCAATCATATGTTTGAATTCTCACACACACCTACAGATATGAAAAAAGGCATAATAACAGTTTTATTTAAGGGAGGTAACAAAAAGAGAAATGATCCAGCTAGTTACAGAGCTATCTCCCTTTGTTCCGCCTTGTTAAAATTATTTGAAAAGGTCGTTCTACAAATTGCAGAAATGGATGGTGGCATTCATTTAAATCCATCACAAGGTGGTTTTCAAAAAAACGTTAGCTGTTTGATGACAGCATTTATGCTTCGCGAATGTGTACAATACTCCATAGAAAATAATTCTCCAATGTATACATGTTTTTTAGATGCGAAACAAGCATTTGATCACACTTGGATTTCTTCATTGTTACTAAAACTGTATCAAAGTGGTATTGATATATCTCTGTTTCAAATATTTAAATCGTTCTTCGAAAACTGTTACAGTTGTGTAAAATCAAATGGATTTGTCTCCGACTGGTTCCCCGTGCTGCAAGGTACACGTCAAGGACAATGTTGTAGTCCTCAATTCTACATCCTCTTCATAATTGAGCTACTGAACAGGATTGACATGTGTAAAAGTAGCTATAAAATTCACAACATAGTATGTGCATGTCCAACCTCAGCTGATGATATGGTCATCATTTCAAATGTCAAAAAAGGGCTCGATGAACTTTTAGATATATGCTTCAATTATGCCCAAAAGGAACGTTACTTTTATAACGCAACGAAATGCAAAGTTCTCGTTTTCAATGATAAATGTAGCAACAAAAGACAATGGAAAATGGGAAATAAAATTATAAGTGAAACAAACTCATATACCCATCTAGGCATTCTTTGCACAAATGACATGAACCTTCGCGAAAACATAACCGAAAGCTGCCATAAACTTAGGAAAACATTCTTTAGCTTAACTAACAGTGGAATAGGGAAAAATGGACTAAACCCTATCACCTCAAGGCGTATCTACGAAACTAAAGTTCTCCCAGCTGCGCTCTACGGGAGTGAATTATGGAGCGGTGTCAACGCGACACAGTTACTTCCCTTGGAACGGGCACATAGACAATGCGTCAAATGGATTCAAGGCGTTCCATACGGAACTCGTACTGACATTGCCCTCAGTTGTTTAGGGATTTATCCGATATCTAACCTTATTGATATAAGAAAACTTATCTTTTTGTCCAAACTATGCCATGCAGATTCAAATATGAAGTTTAAGCAAATTTTTGTAAATCGTTTAACATCATATTATGCACGACCTGCTAAATCTAAAGGCTTTATTCCCGACGTGATCAGTGTTCTTGGAAAATATAAACTATTTTCATATCTACGAGACTTTTCAGAAACAGGTTTCTTTCCGTCTAAATATGCTTGGAAAAGAATAACCAAAAAGGCGGTGCACGAGCATGTACTTTGTACTTGGAAATCTAGAGTAGAGCACGACGACGATATCAACCTATTTTTAAATATACATTCCACATACGACTTCAGTTCTATATGGATTTTTCAAAGACATTTCCCGGTTTATAAAACACAATGCTTTTCGTTGTTCAAACTGATGTGCAAATATTTTGAAAGAAAATATCCCATTGTGTGTGACTATTGCAAGACTGTAACATACGAATATGCGTTACATAAAGTGTTTCATTGCTCACATTATGATAACATTAGATATAGTCTATGGACAAAACTCATATCTTTACTAGGACACAATTATTTCCGCATGTTAAGCGGTATGAGCATTGAAAACCAACTTATAGAGATGTTAAGTGGGTTCACAAGTTTTGATATTAATGACAATATACGTATACAATGTTTTATCGCAGTTGCCAAATTCTCAACTGAAATATTGTATTAATATCAACGGTGCCAAAGAAATCTCAGAAAATCGTTAAGAATGATTGTTCTATTTATCCATGCCAATGATTTACTAACAGTCATATGTCAATTTATATATGTTGATGTTTTATTGCCATATGTAAGCTTTCATATATGATCAATGTTTTGTTAACTATCATGCCATTTGTTTAGGAGGCTAATGCTTTATTAGTCATCGTATTAGTATATTTACTATCTGTGTTTCTGTTTTGTTAGAAATTATATTCTTACTTTGTAGATATAGAATCATATTTGCATTATAACATGTAACTCTTCAGTATTGGAGGAAATAAAGATATATATACATGAGCTTGAAAAAATAACACCTTCATAAATGCCTTGATGTGAACAGAATAGCAGGGATATTTTATTTGCTTTTTACATTGTACATCTTCTTTTAACATACTGTACCGTCAATAAATTGAAATGGCAATAATGAGTATAATTGCAATAATGAATGATGCTTATTTTTGCAATGTATATTTCAAGTGGTGTAATAAGTAAAATTTGATCAGGAATGTACATTTTTTAAGACTTAATATATATGCAATCATACTGTACCGTTAACATAATGGCAATAGTAAAATTGCAGAAATGAATGATGCGCATTTTTTACAATGTATATATTTCATGAAGAGTAATAAGTAACATTTTATAGTTAATAAAGACATACTAGGTCGTACAATGAGAAATAATAATAATTTAACAACGTCATGATAGAAACATCCATTTGAAATTTCTTAAGATTTAGATAATAATAACACCACCAAGAGTATCACCACTACCACCAAAAACAATATTAATGAAACATAATGAAAACTCCAACGATGAAATATTTCATCATTTAAAAACATGCAATGATGAAAAAAATTAAATACAATATTAAAATAATTGTAATCACGACCAGAAGAACAATAATGAAATAAAATAATGAAAAAGCAATATGAGTGAAATATAATAAAAACAATAAAATGAAATGAAATTAACAATAATGAAATAAAATGAAACAAAAAACAAAGAAATAAGATAAAATAAAAACAATAAAACAAAAACAAACAAAAAATGAAAATAAAAAAATGAAATAAGGTAACAAGAAATGGAATGAAAGAATATTATTGTCACAAGTGACCATTTAGTTGTTTACCTATGACATGCTTGACCTTAAAGTGACCAGCCTTTGCCACCAGTATGCAGCCAGGCCAACCTGTACGTCCATGCAGATTGACCAGGCTCTAAACCGTTGGCTGACCAATTTCAAATTTGATTTTATTCAAATTATATTCGCTAAATTGAACGTATTCAGAAACAGAAGCTGGACAAGTCTGCTTCCGATAATATTATCAACCATATACATGATATAATGTGTTCCTTTATATTTTAAAGTATCATTTGTCTCATTTTTTATCTTTAAAATGCTTTAAATAAGGAGTCACAAAGGGTTACTTTATCATTTTCATTTCCAAGCATATCCTCGTGCGTTTCATCGCCGGATAGCCACTGATAAACACTATCTATCTTGATTACATGTTTATCAACCGTGAGTATCCGACGATGCATGCGTTTATGCTTGTTTTTTTTTTTTTTTTTTTTTTTTTTTGTTGTTGATTTTTTTAATGTTGTTTTCAGTTTTTATTTTTGACAAAAAGTTAAAAAAAAAAGATGATGGGGGCTAGCATTCTTTACCTTTTTTGTTCGCCTTTAAATTTATTCTATCAATTTTTTAACTTTACTTGCCTGTTTTAATTTTTTAAAGTTGTTTTTTTAAAAATTGATTAATTAAGTAATTAATTAATTTATTTATTTATTTAATTATTAACTTATTTATTAACTTACTTATCTTTATTTATCTATTTATTTATTTATTGTTTTGCAAATTATATCAAGCGAAAAGGGAGGGTACTTGTTTTAAAAATACAGATTGATCTCCCCTGAAAATTCAAATGATAAGAACGGACCAAAGGAGACTTCTCTTCATTAAAACAAGTATAAAATGAGAAAAAAGTCGTTTTCCCGTCAGTTTACACTCCATTACCACTTGTTTTTTTCTTTCTAACTGATAACTCTCACACATCTTCTGCACTAACATTACTTTTGGGGAAAATGACTTTCATAATGCTACTGTAAAACTTTCAACAAATATCAATCAAAAGTAATAACATTTGGTTGTCAAACTTTAGCCGCAAAAGGCATTATGTTTAATTATCAATAGGGAGAGAAGTCGCCTTTTGGTCTTTCACGTCATTTCAATTTTCAGGGGAGGTTACACCGTTACTT